CATCCTTGCCAAGAAGAACTACCTTCCATTAAAAGGTATGAACTCGAACACATATATTCATTATTTAGTTAGTAAACAAAACAGAGTTGCATTTCAAAGATCACTTTCACATAGAAGATCACATATTCTTAATTTAGTTCATACTAATGTTTGCTTTATGATTGATAAGTTTCTTGGAAGTGCATTGTACTTTGTTAGTTTTATTGATGATCACTCCAGGAAAATTTGGGTCACTTATTTAAAATCCAAAGATCAGGTGCTTGATTTCTTTTAGGATTTCCATGCCAGAGTTAAAAGAAAAACTGGTAGAAAGCTTAAATGTATTCAAGCTGACAATGATGGTGAATACAAGGGTCCTTTTAAGAAGTATTGCAGGGAACATAATATCAAGTTAGAGAAGACAGTTCCTAAGACTCCACAGTAGAATGGAGTGGCTGAGAGAATGAATAGAACAATTATTGAAATAATTAGATATACGTTTTCTCATGCAAAGCTGCCTAAGTCCTTTTGGGGTGAGGCAATAAAAACTATAGTTGCCATGATCAACCTTTCTTCGTCAGTTCCTCTTGATTTTGATGTTCTAGATAAAGTTTGGAAAGGAAAGGATGTCTCTTATGCACACTTGAGAGTGTTTGGATATAGAGCATTCGAACATGTTCCTAGGGATGAAAGGTCTAAGCTTGACAGCAAGACAAAGCAGTGTATTTTCTTGGGCTCTGAAGATGATGAGTTTGGCTATAAGTTGTGGGATCTAAAGGAGAAGAAAATTTTAAGAAGCAGAGATGTTATCTTCTTTGAAGATCAAAACATTGAAGACTTTGAACAGAAGAAGAAAAAAGAGTCTACTACTTTTTTTTCCATCTAATTCAAATCCAAGACCTACTCCACAGTTACATTTTATGTCTACCAATCATGGAGGAGATTTGCAAAAAGATGATAATGGTGGTTTTCTTATTAAGCCATTAGTTAGTGATCCTGAATCAGCTAATTATGATTTTGATGTTATTCCTGAATAGATTATGCATGAAGCTCTAAATGAGCCACAATTGAGAAGGTCAACTACACCTCACCAACCTTCCACCAAATATTATCCTCATGAATATGTGCTAGTTATTGATGAAGGAGAGCCAGGATGCTTTGATGAAGCTATGTCACATGAGAAGAAAAGTGAGTGGTTAAAAGCAATGCAAGAAGAGAAGAAATCCTTGCATGAAAACCATACTTTTGAGTTAGTGAAGCTTCCTAAAGGTAAGAGAACACTAAAGAAAAAATAGGTGTTCAGGTTAAAAATTGATGAACATTGCTCACAACCAAGGTACAAGGCAGGATTGATTGTGAAAAATTTTGGTTAGAAGAAAGGTATTGATTTTGAAGAACTTTTTTCACCGGTGGTTAAGATGTCTTTAATCCGAATTATGTTTGGCTTAGCTGCTAGTTTAAATTTTGAAGTTGAACAATTTGATGTGAAAACTGCCTTACTCCATGGTGATTTAGATGAAAAGATCTACATGGAGTAGCCTAAAGGGTTTAAAGAAAACGGCAAAGAATAACTAGTTTACAAGTTGAAAAGGAGTTTATATAGGTTAAAGCAAGCTCCAAGACAGTGGTATAAGAAGTTTGATTCTTTCATGGTGGATCATAGTTATAATAAGACCACTTTTGATCATTGCGTATTTATGAAAAGGTTTCCAGATGGAAACTTTATTATTCTCTTATTGTATGTGGATGATATGTTGATTGTTGCCCATGATACTAAGAAGATTTAGATTCTAAAGGAAAAGTTAAGCAAGTCTTTTGCAATAAAATACCTAGGACCAGCATAACAGATTCTTGGCATGAAGATCACACATGACAGGAAGAAGAAGAAACTTTGGCTATCTCAGGAGAGATATGTTCAAAAGGTACTTGAGAGATTCAACATGAGTCCAAACCTGTTTGTTTTCCATTTGCAGGCCACTTTAAACTAAATTCTAAATAGTGTTCTTCAAATGATGAAGAAAGAGATGAGATGAAAAAGGTTCCTTATGCATTCGTGGTTGGTAGCTTAATGTATGTCATGGTTTGCATAAGGCTGAATATAGCTCATGCAATTGGTGTAGTTAGTTGGTTCCTCTCCAATCCTGGTCAAGAATACTGGTCATCAGTGAAATGGATACTTAGGTATCTCAAAGGTACTTCTAGTTTTAGCTTATGTTTTGGTAATAATAAACATGTGTTGGATGGATACACAAATATAGATATATCTAGTGATGTTGATTCTAAAAAGTCCACATTAGGATACTTGATGAAGCTTGTATGGGGAGTAGTCTGATGGCAATTAAGGTTACAAAAATATGTTGCATTATCCACTATTGAGGCTAAATATATTACTTTTACTGAAAGGGGCAAAGAGTTGTTATGGATGAAAAAGTTCTTATATGAACTTGGCTTAGTTCAAGAAAACTTTGTGCTACACTGTGATAGTTAAAGTGCAATCCATTTTAGTAAGCATCCTACTTTTCACTCTCGATCAAAGCACATTGAGGTTAGATATTAATAAATTCAAGATGCTATAGAGATGAAGTCATTTGTTTTTGAGAGGATCCATACTGATAACAATATGTCAG